ACGCCCGTGGTTGAATCGTTTCGAGCGCGGCGGGCCATCGAAAGTAGTCAAGCATGGACTAGAGGGGTTCAGATGCAAGGGTACCCTTGGGAATGTTGCCCATCCTTACCATTGGTTTCGACAATACTCAGATCCACCGCCCCAGGAACCGACGTCCTGGGACCCAGAAGATCGATCTCCCAGGCGGTGATTGTGCGAAAGTCTCCGCCTCGGACTCTCTTCTCCCCAAAACGCAGGGGGAGGACGGCGGTGGTCGACCCGTCTCTCAGGCACCAGGCGGGTGCGCAGTGCCAGGGCAACGCGACGGGACGACGACACGCAAAAGCAGCAGCAAGCAGCCGAATGGGCAGACAAGGGATGACCACTCCGGATCATGGAGGAAAAGCTAGAAGTGCTGGCCGACCCGACCCTGACCCAAGACCTTGAGGCTCCTTGGCCAGCGATGTCACGCCTGATGATGATGAGGCGGAAGAGAGGGTAGGGAGGGTAGGAAGAGGGAGCAGAACGAAGAGGAGGAGGAGGATGAGGAGGAGGGAGGAGGAAGGAGGAGGACGGGAGTGAAGGCGAGGAGAAGGAAGAGGATGCGGAAGAGGAGGGGGGAGGAGAGAATAGGTGGAGGGAGGAGGACGGGAAGGATCGATGCTCGGGGCGGTTCTCCAGGCTTTTCCACTCCCCTCGGCGCCTCTCCTCCCCGTCCCCTCCCCCCTTGATCTTCCCATGTGACCCCTCCCTCTCAAACCCGTTCACGCCCCATATGCTAACTCCTCCTCCTCCTCACGATTCTTAGTATTCCTCTTATTATTATGATTATTGTTCGTATGCTTATTGTTATTATTCTGAATAGTCTTATTATGCTTCGCCGTCTGATAAATACCCTTATCGGTATTATGCGTATCAGTATTAGGATTAGTGATATGATTATTACTCTGAATATTTTCTCTATACGTACAATAACTCGTAGTTTTCTTCTTAGTACGAGTCTGTTTAACAATCGTAGTAATGTTTCTAAGTACGAGTCGGATTAGCAATAAGTAGTATGAGTAGTACCACTGCTTCTTATACTTGAGAGTATGGTTATTCGGTCGCTCTTCTTATGATTATTAATCACATGCGTTGCTTGATTATTGTCCCTCCTCATCATCATCCTCATCCTCATCCTCATCATTATTTCTCTTGGTTACAATGCTTGTCATATGATTCGTCTTGTACTATTTTGTTCCTGCTCTTGCTTCTGCTTTTCTCTCTCCTCCTCCTCTTCCTCCTCCTCCACCTCCAACTCCTCTTCCTGCTGCTGGGGGAGGCGGCGCTGCGCCAGACATGGGGCGACCCCTGCGGCCTCTTCGACGACGCCCCAGATGGGGGCGAAACTTCCCGACACGCGGGGGCACTGACGGCGACAGGCGCGCCTCGCCACGCTGGGAGTGCCACGAACGGCGGCCCGCACTGCATCGCTGAGCTCGAGAACGCCAACGTCCAGATGTAGCTGGAGGCGAGAGGTGGCAGCACCTGCAAGGATAACGAGACGGGCTGGAAGAAGAGGGTGCTGATCTGCCGGATCTGGCAGCGGTCGCTTGGTCCTCAAGGGCGAGGCGGCCCCAGCGGCTGGGAGACGCGAGGACGAGGAGGGGCTCCTGCTCTTCATCGTGCACTTCAGCGTGACGTTCAAGAAGGCCTTCGGGACGGTCAAGCAGCTGATCTTCGGTATCGAGCACCAGCATGTGGCGATCGGAGCGGGCGATCCGCTGGCGGGCAAGCCGCGGGTCTGGCTGCCGTTGTGGGGGTTCACTCGCCGAGGCGGTGCACGCCCACCAGCTGCTCCCCACCACGGCGCGCGCATGAGGAGGCTCGTCCTGGCCAAGCACCGCCTCCGCCGAGGTGCCAGACCACGCCGTGGCAATTTGTTTCCTTTTGATGCGGGTCGGGGAGTACGCCTGGAGCGGCGGATGGGACCGCGAGAAGTTGCTGACATAGGGCGACGTGGCGGCGCGCCGCGAGGGCCGCGCCCCCCGCACCGAGCACGAAGGAGGCCAACGAGGTCATCGCGCGGCTCAAGAGCGCCACGGCCGACAAGATGCAGTCTGGGGAGGCGCGCAGCCACTCTTGCACGGGAGAGGGGCGCTGCCAGGCGTTAGCGGCGGGGTGGATGCAGCAGCACTTCCCGAGCGCTGCACGACCGAGAGGCACATCCCGCTGCGCAGGCGGCAGGGCGGCACGCTGGTGAAACGCGAGCAGCTGCAAGAGGTGCTCGAGCAGGGTGCGAGGAAGGAGGGCCTCCCAGCGGAGCGCATGCGCCCCCGTTCGCTGCGCATCCGGGGCGCCGCTACCCTCGATCGACCACATCAACCCGGACGTGGAGCTCATCAAAAGGTTCGGGCGCTGGAGCAGCACCGCCTTCCTCAGACATCTGTGGGAGGCGAACGAGGGCACGACAGCGCAGCCGCAGGCATGGCGAGCGACGCGACATCGCTGCACGTCGGCTACCACGTGGCGAAGGCGGACCAGCCCAAGGCGCGAGACGCCGAGGCGGGCCCGACGGGCAGGGGAACAGGACGGCCACTGCTCGCGCCCGCCAGGGGGCGGCGGCGGGGACAGGGGGAGGGGGGGGGCGCGCACTTCCCGCGCCCCCCTGGCCCGCCGGAGCTCGCGAGCCCCACCGCCCCCACGGCGAAGGAGGAACCCCGAACAGCTTCGAGGGCGGGAGAGCCGAGCGCCCGCCTCGACACGGAGGCCGCCGAGACCACGTCGCGGGGCGCCGCGGGCCGGGACCCAATAGCTGCTGGCCCCGCGCCGCAAGCTGCGGGGAGCCGCCGCCCGCGGCGGCCGGCTGCAATCGCCGCCGCCACCGGGGGGGCTGCTCCCCGCGGCCATCGGCGCCAGCCGGCCGGGCCGCCAGCGCCGCCGCCGCCAGGGGGCCGCTCGCCGCCGCGGAAGGAGCGCCGGGCGTCCAGCAGCCAGAGCTGGGCACGAGGGGCCCGAGGGGCCCGCGGCTGCCGCAGCGGGGCCCGAGGGGCCCGCCGCCGCAGTGCCTGCCTGCAGAGCGCTGCGCAGCCTGGCACCAGTACCGGCCGGGGGCTGATCGGTTGAGCCCGGGGGAGCTCCGTTGCTCTGGCGGGGGGAGCAGGCGCCCCCGTTGCCACGGGACGGAACTCGCCGCCACTCTTCGTGCGTGAGAGGAAAAGACTCTCTGCCTCTGCTTCCCCTCCTTGTCAAGGCCCCGCGGTCCTGAGCCTCTGGAGGTTTCGCTCAGGGTCTGCGGGCTGCCGAGCGGCCCTCCTGGGCCGACTCGGCCTTGGTATCGTCTCCGCCAGCCGTGCGCGCCGTTAATACAGCTAATTCGGTCCCGATGCTGCCCATGCTGCCCCGATGCCGCCCCCATGCTCGCCAGTCTGGGCGCCCTCTCTGCCCACTCCTGTGCCGCATTGCGCACATCAGGTGGCAGAGGAACACGAAGGCGAAGAGAGCGAGCCGCCGCCCCCACAGCGGGCACAGCTCCCGAACCCCGACCAGAATCGCGCCCGCCGCGCGCGCGCCCAGGTTCCGCCGCGCGCGCCCGGGTACCCTCGGTCCTGTCGCACCTCGGTCCTGTCGCGCTGCGCCAATGGTGCAACACCCCGCGTGCTTGAACGGAAGAAATAAATAAATAAATAAATAAATACATAAAAAAGAACAATCCGTCGGACCGCGGGTCTCGGGCGACGGCCTCTGTCCTCAGAGGGACAGCAAGACGTGCACGCCGTGCAGCAGGACGGTGGAGAAGTGCTCGTACTTCGCGTCCTGCTCCCTGCAGCACCCTCAGGCCTACCCCATCGCCCGGCAGGGGACCCTCGCGCGTGGCCCTCACGCCGAAGCGAACACGGGCCGGGACTGCACCGGCCTCTGGGCAGCGTCGTGGGCCACACCGCGGCCATCTGGGGCCGTCTAAGGAGGCCCACCCTCTCGGGAAACCCTCTCGGGTGATCCTCTGGGCGGGCCCCGGACCTCTGGGCAGGGCGCGCGATCGGCCGCCTCGGGGGCTCCCTCTCGTGCGCACCTGAGAGCGTGTTCGGCCGCAGAGCCTGGGGAGCAAAGCGTATTGATGCGAGGCGGGGAGTTGTCCATACCCACCGCCTGGGGAATCGATGTCCTGGGACACAGGGGGTGTTGGATATGGACATCTGTTGGCCCCAGGGGGGGAGACTATATCCCTATGCACCGCCTGCCGAGATACCCGCAGATTCATCCAACTTGCTGTGGTTACTGGTAAAGTTCGCATCGGGCTGGAAGTCCCAGGTTTCCCCAACACTCCTGTGGAGTTGCGACCCTCGATCTGAGACTGCTGCGCCGCGCGGATTCCCTCCTGCACGGCAATTCTCTTGACTGCCCAGCTGGTACTGACTGCTTGCCTTACTGCAGTCTTGGTGCCCCAGCAGGTTGGCTACCTCACTACTATTCTGCCAATTGCGTGCCGGCCTCTGCTGACAAGCTCCCAGTTCAATCAGCGTCGAAATCCACACTCCCGTGCTCCCAACGCCCTCCTCACCCATCCCGCCGCCGATGCTGCAGCTGCTGATCCTGGTGCTGCCAGCCCCGCCGCTGGCACACCCTCTCCCCCAGCCTCGACACAGCTCGGCCTGCAGACATCGCGCTGCTATAAGAAAACGTATAAGAAAACGCTGCATAGTGAACGAAGTTCTGTGTGTATGTCGTTCTTCGCTCCCCTTTAAACACCAGAGCCCCTCCCGAGCCCGATCCGGGCGCCACGTCAGCGCCTCAGCAATCAAAGGGGGGGAGCCTTTCCATTGAGGAGCCGCGAACCGCGAACAGGTCGGAGGAGGCGGAGGCGGAGGAGGAGGAGGCGGCGGGGGAGGAGGAGGAGGAGGAGGAGGAGGAGGAGGAGGAGGAGGAGGAGGAGGAGGAGGAGGAGGAGGAGAGGAGAGAGGAGAGGAGGAGGAGGAGGAGGAGGAGGAGGAGCAGCAGCAGCAGCAGCATCGCCCTGCCGCCGCCTCTCCAAAAGAGCCCTCCTGGGCGGCCCACAGCCACGCCGTCGACGGCGCCAGCCCCAGCGCCGCCAGCTTCGCCGCCGTCCAGAGGAGGCCCAGCTGCACGAGGCGAGCCTCGCGGCCGCTGAAGGCCTCCGCAGCCCGGGACGGGGGGGCGGCGTGCGGTGCCGCCGCCATGCCAGGGATCCCAAGGGCATGCGATGCCAGCAATAGGGAAACAAACAATGTCATAAACATAAAAACTCGAAGGTCCGTGTGGATTCCGCGGATCGGCGTTGGAACCCCCGTCCTTGGCGCGCGGAGTGCGCCAAGGGCGGCGCCGGAAGCGCCGCCAAGGGGCTCCAGCGCCGATCCGAGAAATCCGCGCGGACCTCAGATTTTGCATGTTTGTATCATTGCTCGTTCCCCTAAATACTAGGACGGGAAGGATGACATGATAGGATTGGCTCAGGACACGTTTGGGGATTTCCAGAGTATCTAGCGGCCCTCGCTTACGCGGCCCGTGCAACATCGGGACGTCTCTGAAATGCTGGAGGTATTGGAACGCATCACTATCATGACCTCTTGCTCCTCCGAATCTGTGCTCGACGGGCCTGCATCCTGAGCCGTTGTTTGACGGCCCCGCGGGACCCGGCGAGGGCTCCGAGAGGCCAAAAACTACGAGACACACCCCGTGCATACTTTTGATACACGGCTGAGGTTTGGGACCGCTGCCACCGCCTCGTCCTCCTCCCCTCCTCCACCTCCTCGCCCTGTCGGCGGCAGTGGCCCCAGCAACAAAAGAGCTCGCCGACGACCACGGCACCACAGAGACGCTTCCCATCCTGCTGCTTCGAGCGATGCCTCGGGAGGCAACCCTTCCTGCCGGAGGAAGCCGGATTTCGGGGCCACTACGCCGGACTGAGGCGGCTTAGGCCCGAGAGAAAGCCCGATGAAGCGGGACTGAGCGGTGACCGAGAGGGCTTCGGCCAGTCTACGACCACGGATAGACCAGCACCGATGCTGAATCGAACCTCCCAGGAGTGGCATCCTGAACGATCCCCACCCGAAGACGCGAGGCGGTATCCCCAGGGAGCGCCGGCACACTCTGAGCATGGCGGCCGCGGTACAGTCGGGGGCTTGACCTAAGGAACCCAAAATAAGGAACGAGGCCCCCATTTTCCATAAGTTGAACTTCGATTTCGTATCGAAAACCTAAGAAAAATCCAAGGCAAACTGCGAAACAATTAAGGAACACGGAGCCCCTCCCCAACGAAAAGGGTTCCTTCTTCAGGGCCCCGACTGTATGCAGGGTGTGTTTCTCCAAATCGAACAGTCCCAGCCTGTCGGGTGAAAGTAGGGGGCCGAGGGAAAGAAGCACGAATGAAGGCACAGGCCGAACACGAACGCGCACCTGATCGCAAATTCTCAGCCCAGGGCTTCCCATCAAGCTGGTACTCAGGAGAATGTTGAGCGGCATCTGCCACCGTGCCGTGGGGCGAGAAGTGAAGCGTCCTCAGGCCATTCCAAGCTATCTGCGCTGAATCTGCTCAGTACTCTCCATAAGGGGCGCCAGCCTCAGAGTTCGGGTAATTTCTGGGAGCTTCTTGGCATCCTTGGACATCGCCGCATGACTTTTCCGGCATGACTTTCCCGGCATGACTCGGGGACGCGGTTCGGAATCCAGACTTCCAGCCCGCCCTGAGATGGTCCCAGCAAGACGCCAAACATCAAGTTCGCATGCTCACCATCCCGGTCTCAGGAGCCTACGAAATGAAACAGGAGTGCTCAAAGACGGCCCTCAAGACCCCAACAGGAGCCCAAACCGACCCCAAGAGCACCCCAAGAGGGGCCCAAGAGAGGGAGAGCTCAAAGAAGCCTTCGGGGGCTCGACACGCCCCGATGACCCTCCCGAAGCCGCCTCGAAGCCCCCAAGGAGGCGCCCAAGAGGCCCCTGGAGACTCCGAAGAGGTCCCAAGTAGGCCCCCATGGGGCCGCCAACGGGCCCAGAGAGGCCTCCGAAGAGACCGCGAGAGGCCTCTCTCAGAGGTCTACGAGGCCTCGCGAAGAGGCCTCTTGAAGAGGCCTCGAGGGGATCAGCGAGCCAAGCACTATGGCGAGATGGGCCGGATGGTCACTTGATGACCCAAATCTCCGACGAGACCTTATTCAATCTGGGCTGTTTCCTGCGAATTCGTCCTCTGGCTCCAGTTCCAGGACCCCAGGACCGTCAGATCTGGATCCTGGACGAGTAGCTGTTGTTTTCGTCACTATTGGCCAAGTGTTGCCACTCAATGGCACGTTGCAGAAGCCATCAGGGCGCCTTGCCAGCGTGACAACAGGTGCCTTATCAAAGTAGGCATGCTCACTTCGGGGGAGTTGGCACAATCCTACCAGCCCTTTGGGCGAAGGTGGTCTAACGAGTGCTAATGTTGTCTGACGAGTTCTTTCATTCCTCTTCCCTTCGGGGAGGGGTAACCTCCCTCTCCCCTCCCTAGGTTTTTTGCGGCAGATGGTCCTTTTTCGCCCAAGATGGCCAACAGCCCGATGCTCCAAGATGGCCTCAAAAGCGGCTCAAGATAGCCCAAGATAGCTTTCGACATACCCCCAAGAGGCCCGACGAGGGCCACAAGACGATTCCAGTGCTCTTAAGACCCCCTATCAGTACGAGAGAAGGTTCCACTGCGGCCATATGGGCTTTTGTGCGGCCCGGTGGGCTTTAGTATGGCCAGAAGGGCTCTCCGGAGTATTTGAATCCTCGAGGACGGTGAAGACTCTGAAGAGCCTCACAGGCCCCCCTGAAGGATCCCTGAAGAGCCTCGTGGGCCCCGAGCCTCCCTGGGCCCCCCGAAGAGCGCCCTGGGGCTCCGGGCCCCCCGGAAGGCTCCCTGAAGTGCCTCTCGGGCCCCCCTGAAGAGCCTCTTGGGCCCCCTGGAGAGCCTCCCGGGTCCCCTGGAGAGCCTCTTGGGGCCTCCAAAGAACCTCGTGGGGCATCTACTGAGCTTCTTGGAGCCTCTGACGAGCCGCTTGGGGCCTCTGAAGAGCTTCTTGGCCCCCTGAAGAGCTTCAGGAGGGAGGCCGCTGAAAAGCCTCTCGGCCCCCCTGAAGAGCGTCTTGGCCCCCTCAAGAGCCTCTGGGCCCCCTGAAGGGCTTCTTGGGCACCTCTGAGAACCCTCTTGGGTCCATCTGAGGAGCTGCCTGGGGCCTCTGAAGAGCCTCGTGGGGCCCCCTCCATCTCACCTCCCTCCTCCCCCTTCCACCTCCCTCCTCCCTTTCCCTCTTTATCCTGCTGCTGCTTCTGCTGCTGCTGCTGCTCCTCCTCCTCCTCCTCCTTCTCCTCCTCCTCAATCTCCTTCCCCTCCTCCTCCTCCTCGAGCGGCCGCGCGACTTGCAAACCGGCCGCCCCATCCGCAGCAGCAGGAGGACTTTCTGCTGACGGAGGAGGAGGAGGGGAAGGAGGAGGAGGAGGAGGAGGTCGTGAATCAAGAGGATGAGGACGAGCTTGATTTTGATGATAATGCCGATCATGATAATGTTGTTGATGTTGTTAATGCTGCTGATGGTGCCGAAGCTGATGCGGAAGCTGAATATACTGAGTAGGAGGACGACGACGATGCCGATGACGGCGACGATGACGATGACGATGACGATGACGATGACGATGACGATGACGATGACGACGATGGTGATGATGATGTTGATGCTGGTGACGACGATGGTGATGATGATGATGAGAGGATGGCGATGATGATGATGATGATGATGATGATGATGATGATGATGATGGTGGTGATGATGATGATGATGATGATGATGATGATGATGATGATGATGATGATGATGATGATGATGATGATGATGATGATGATGATGATGATGATGATGATGATGATGATGATGATGATGATGATGATGATGTGATGATGATATGATGATGATGATGATGATGATGATGATGATGATGATGATGATGATGATGATGATGATGATGATGATGATGATGATGATGATGATGATGATGATGATGATGATGATGATGATGATGATGATGATGATGATGATGATGATGATGATGGTGGTGGTGGAGGTGATGATGATGATGGTGATGATGGTGCTGACGCTGATGCTGATGCTGATGATGATGATGCTGATGCCGATGCTGATGATGCTGATGATGATGATGATTATGATGGTGGTGATGGTGGTGGTGACGATGGTGGTGATGATGCTGCTGCTGAAGATGCTAGCAACGACGATGATGATGATGAGGATTCGGAGTATGATTCCGATTCCGATGATGACGACGATGCCGATGACGATGACTACTTGATGATGACGAGGAGGAGGAGGAGGTCTAAGCTGAAGGCGAGGACGAGGACGACGAGGAGGAAAAGGCAATAGGAGGCAGGATGAGGACGAGGAGGAGGATGAGGAAAAGGAGCAGGAGGAAGCAGGAGGATGTAGTGGTAGATGAGGTGTAGGGGGCGGGAGGCGGGAGGGAGGAGGAGGAGGAGGAGGCAGGAGGATCATGCAGCAGGAGGAGCCGACATAAAGGTAGGCAACATGAGGAGCTATCAGGAAGGGAGGCAGCAGAAGCATGCAGCGGGAGGAGCATAGTACGGAGGGACAGGAAGAAACAAAGAACAACGAGAGGAGGAGAAGGAGCGGGACAAGTTAGGAGTGAGGAGTCAGGAGAAGGAACATGGGGGCCAAGGTGATGATGATAAGGAAGAGGCATGAAGGGAGATTGCGCATGTGATGTTGACAAGTGCAAGACGAGCGAGGAGAGGATGATCATGACGGGGGGTTCGAGGACGAATACGATGATGATCGTGATGCTCACGAGGACGATTGTTTCAAGATCGTTTCTCGAACCATTTTTCCAGCGCTGCACACACCCTCGGATATGCAGCTGGGCTTATCACATTGCTTCAAAAACTATGTTCGAATGTTAAGTTGAAGATTGGCACAACTACTACTAGATTGCTTCCAAAGCGCTCCAAATGGTCTTTTGTGCGGCCACCTTTTTCTGAGCGGGAACGCCAGGCCTTATGGTTGCCAGGACTCCCAGAGCTAAGGAAACCTTTTACATATTACTTTGAATTGAAGGGTCAGAGCGGGCCGCGGTACCACCCCGCCGCGCGCCGGGCCGCACAAGCACCCAACGGGCCGCACAAAAGATCAACGGGCCACACAAACAAACAGTCGCCCATGAGGACCCCCCAGGATGCCAAAATACTTATAGATAAACTATGGGAAATTAGCGATTGTTGCCTTCTCGCCGTTTCGCTTCCGATGCGCTTCTGAGGCCTCAAGATTGCCCCACGATGGCCCAAGAGGCCTTCCAGACGGCCCGTAAGGACGCCCAAGAACGCCCCAAGGGCCCCAGGAGGCGATGTTGATGGCCCCAGGGGGGAATGGATACTTAGGACCCCCCTCCTGGGTTCGATAGCCTCCAAGATGGCCTTAGAGGCCCTCCAGGGCACCAAAGAGGGCCCCAAGAGGGCCCCAGGACGGCCCCAAGAGGGCCCCAAGAGGGCCCCAAGAGCGCACAAAAGCCCCCCAAGCCAGGACGGCACCAAGAAGCGGTGTGCCCCCTCCTCCTCCTCCTCCTCCTCCTCCTCCTCGTCCTTTTCCTCTTATTATGGTTATTATGATTATTATTATTCTTTTTCTACTTCTTCTTCTTCTTATTATTATTAGTATTATTATTATTATTATTATTATTCGTCTTATTCTTATTATTATTCTTATTCTTTTCTTCTTATTATCATTATTAATAATATTCTTCTTATTCCTCTTCCTGTTCGTCCTCCTCCTCCTCCTCCTCCGCCTCCTCCTCCTGCTCCTCCACCTCCTCCTCCTCCTCCTCCTCTTCCTCCTCCTCTTCCTCGTCCCCTCGCCCCCAGATGGCGCGAAGAGGCCTTCCAGGGCCACCCCTTTGCTCCCAAAGATCTCTCTGTTCATCCGGATTGCCCGCTTGGTTTTACTACGTCTCTATTCGTCAAGTGTCCAATCAAATCTCGTGGCTCGCGGCCGCACGCGAGCGCGCCAGCAGCGTCAGAGGTCGGGCGGGCTACGCGCGAGCCGAATTGCCTAGCGCACGGGGACCCACGGCCGAACCTAAGTTGCCTAAGCTGCCTAAGCTGCCGGGCGGCGCGAGGGGGGCCAGGAAGCGGGGCAGAACCCGAGACCTTGCCGGCGGGCAATGCAAACTGCAACTAGGACCAGGATCCGGGGGCAGTGCCCATGCACGAATTGAACCAAGGAGCGATACGCAGCCAAGGTCACAGACAGCGAAGCTGACAAGTGACCGCTGAGGGCGAGGACTAGACGTAGGATAAACCACTGGTGGGGATACGCGAAGCGTGAAGAAAACCTTGGCAAGCTACTGGAAAACACAAAGAACGACCCCCAGGAGAGCTGCTGGGGACTCTCGAGTCGAGGATTAAAACAAAAAGATCCGCGGATGTCAGGGAAGGACGCTGGCACGATATGTTGGTTACCACTTGTCGAGGGGGAAGGGTGAATATGGATCTCGCACAACAGAGCGCACGCGACAGCATGGTCGCCCCCTCCCCCTGCAGTGGCACTGTGCAAGCTCACCCCCCCCAAATCACCGACGCATGTTTTTTTCAAAACGGACCGCCCGAAGTCCCGACACCTTCCCCCAGGACTGTTTCGCATCCCGAGCTGCTTGCTTAACGGTCCCGAAGCCCGGTGAGGGCCCCCAGAGGCCGAGAACTACGATAGAGGAAGAAATAGCACCAGAATGATAAATGTTCGAAGATCCTCGTTGGTTTCCTTGGATCGACACTTGCAAGTGGGACGTGTAAAGAGGACCTGGGACACACAAATAAATACACGAAAATGACAGGATCCCCTATGTTTCCCATATTTTATATGTTTTTGTTTTCCCCCCCCACTTCCCACATTCCCCACCTAGGCTCTGCCTAGAAAGGTTCTTACTCTCTTGGCTTAAAGGGGCCGGGCAATGTAATGCGCCCCGGGCGGTTCCCCCAGGATCCGCCCCGCGGTTCCCCCAGTTGCGCCCCCTGGGTTCACCAAGCTTAGCTTAGCTTAGCTTATCTCATCTTAGCTTAGATTAGCTTAACTTAGCTTAGCTTAGCTCTGCCTAGCTTGGCTTAGCTTAGCTTAGCTTAGCTTGGCTTGGCTTGGCTTGGCTTGGCTTAGCTTGGCTTAGCTTAGCTTAGCTTAGCCTAGCTTAGTTTAGCGTGGCTTAGCTTAGCTTAGCTTAGCATCGCGTAGCTTATGTTAGCGTGACCTAGCTTAGCTTAGCTTAGCTTAGCTTACCTTACCTTAGCTTACCTTAGCCTAGCTTTGCTTAGGCTTAGCTTGGCGTATATTAGCTTAGCTTTGATTAACTCATCGTGGCTTAGCTTAGTTTAGCTTAGCTTTGCTTAGCTTAGCTTAGCCTAGCTTAGCTTATCCCATATTAGCTAAGCTTAGCTTAGCTTACCTAGCTTCGCTTGGCCTAGCTTAGCTTAGCTCAGCTCAGCTTAGCTCAGCTTATATCAGATT